TCCTTGGTACACAGCAATCCATTTTAAAAAGCTTATTCATCAGACCGTGACCCATATTTTGGGATAAAGCCGAATTGCAAAATTCCCAAGCAATTTTCACCCCTCAAAATTACACGATACATTAGGCAACAGAAAAGAAAAGCACTTCTCTCGGTCAGGCCACTCTCACTCACTCCCTCTCCTCGACTGTTTTGGCACTAGTCCATACTCTCACTGCGAGTCCAGCCAAAGCCTCTTTGGTGAGGCTGTCAACTCTGTATCAACAACCGGATGTTTACAGCTCAGGCTTTGCATGTTTCCTCACTTGTCCCGGAGAGACACAATCTCATGTACAGCACTGAGAGTGTAGCTCAGCCTTCATGATGAGGTTTGGTGCCGTAGAGGCTGAAGGCACGTTCTTTTTAAAGCCTTTTTAACACCATGAATAATGCAAAGCATGCAAGCGAATCTAAAACAACAGCTTCAACCGAGACATTAACTGTGATTAACTGTGAATCGATTCACGCCGGGCCTACACAACATTAAATGTCCTTTACCACGTGAGCACAAATAAAACAAAGCGTTTTATCAAAGTCAAACTTTTCGCTGCGTGAAATGTGATGTTCAGTGAGAAAGAAAGTAGCGCAGGATTTGATTTTATCTATTGGGAACTGACTGAATTGTGAAACGTGGGTGTTAACATCCCATAATGGAGCCAGCCGGGTTCCTCTTTGGAATAACATGCTCAACAACACCAAGGAGAATATTAGGGGTGGGTGGTATGACCAAAATTCTGTTTTACGTGACGTGTAATTTAATTTCATGATAACTGTTTATTTCAGGATGTAGTTTATTTAAATATATAGGTTTTCCATAAAGTCAACAAAAAATTATAATAAATAAACGTAAACACCTCAGAACAGATTTTTTTTTTTTAAATTGAACTTAAAAACATGAATATATTTAAAATATAGTAGGGATCTCCAATATTGGATATTTGACCATATTTTCAAACTGTTTTTGGCTGAGGTGATGCCGACCTTTTCTGTTTGTGCGTTTAAGAAATTATTATACAGTTTAACTTAGGACTGAGATTTTAATTCCCCTTAAGTGTTAGCTTCTCACAATAAACTCAAATCAGACTTGTAATTTTACGACCCCTATTGATGCTTTGTTGCTATATAGAACTAACACTTTTTTCTTTCATTTTAATTAGTGTAACACAGCAGCCCAGTTTTTTGATTTCTCAATTTTTGAATCTGCCACTATGCTGACACAGGCATTTTGTAGCTCCGTCCTCTGTCGAAAAAAGCTCAATCTTATTTGAATTTAAAGGGTCACGAAACACCAAAACACATTTTTTGAGCTGTTGACAGTCGTATATGTGTCCCCCACTGCTAAAAACACTATTAGGACACCTATATTTCACTAAAAAGTGTAAACTGGTTGCTTTTGCGTTATTTCAAGCAAATTCGTACTTCCTGTTTGAAACGAATTTTTGAAGCTGCATCACGGCCATGACATAATAGCGTTGTATTCCAGCGTGCAGACTGGACGTCTGTGCCAGAGTCTTATTACGTCTTACAATGTGATGCATTAATGCATGAGTAAGGCTTGGTTCAAACCAATCAGCGCGCTCTACTGTGCAACTTCATTAATATTCATTACTGTCAGAGTGTAGACGGCAAAGACGGCACGTTGTGTTGGCAAAACAAGCGTGAAGTGTTGCTTTTATAGTTTGCTGTAGTTAAGTTTCGTTTTCATTTTCTCTCTGTGAGAGCGCAGACTCACGTGTGGATTACAGTGTACGCGACGCGCGACAACAATAACTTACGTGTCTAAAGAGGATTATTGTTTATCTGAGAGCTGTTCTGATCTGCTAACGCTGAGATCCGGGATTCGCTTGTAGTCTCCTCTAAATAAAGACGCGGCTCTAGTTGCTGGTGATTGTCCTGTCTCTACAGATTTGGTAAGTGAGCGACCAGTGCTCTTTGTTTATTCAGTTCGTATTTTATTCGTATCCAACAAACTATTGAGTGTAAACAAGTTAGCACTAACAGTTACAACCAAACTATAACCTCGTGTTGAATTTTGTGACCGGAATAACACACGCGGCTTTCTGACGCTACCTGCCGTGTGCATGTAAGTTTCCGGGAAATGCTGAGTTTTTTTTTCTCTCATTCGCCGTGCGGTATCAAACATTGCATGAAAAATAAACGCTTGGAGCAGCGCCTCAAATCAAATATCTCGTTTGTCGGGAGGGACATGGATGAATTCCCTGAATGAAAGAGCTAACTGCAGTTAAAGTCCACCATTTAATAATTTGGCAAATAATTCGACTACAGATGTCCATGTAAACACAGTCACATTGTCCGCTGTGGGTGTGTGTTTTGACTCTGAAATTCAGTGCGCCCAAATAGACACTCCCATACCATGCCTCTTTTCTTCCTCCGACACTCCCCCCTAAACAGAGTGTGAAAACACACTGCTGAAACGAGGGGGTTTCATGGCCCTTTAAAGGGTCAGTCACCAAAATAGCACAATTAGGATTGAAAGGGCAGTTTCATAGAGTTATAAAGCATTATTTGTGTGGTATTATGAGCTGAAGCTTGACTCTAGAGACACAAGAGACTGCTTTTACATCTTGTAAAAAGGGGCCCCTTTATATTAAGCCCATATCTTTAAAATTTGGAAATCAATTTTATCCCAGGTTCAATGGAATTTCTGCGCTAGCCTGCTGCTAATGATGGTGCCTACGTTTAAACAGACTTTCATCTCTTTTTACACTTTAACAACCAAATTGATGCTTAAGTCTATTTAACTGATTATATTTGAAGTACATTACAACATCAAATCAATGCTGTAAAAGAAATTTAAAATAGTCACATAAAGCTTTTACCGGAAGTTCATCATTGGTGGAAAAACACGAGCTGTGCATAGAGCCCATACTGATGTAGCTCTTGCACATAGATGCAAGCTAGTCACACACTCATTTATATGTCAAGGTATACATGAATTAACAAAAGTATATTGTTGTTGACAGTTTATTCTGCGGAAACAGTATACCATCATACTGCCCAGCCCTAATATATATATATATATATATATATATATATATATATATATATATATATATATATATATATATATATATATATATATATATATATATATATATAATATATCATTCTATGATAAAAAAAAAACACAATACAAAGCAATGATTATATGGAGAATAATTTAACCAAATTAATTTTAAATGAATTTTATTAATTTTATTAAATGAATATCTGCAAATACTGCACACTTATTGACAGCTGCGTCAAATAGCAAAACAGAATTTACCCAGGACCAAAATTACTACATTGTAATTCATTAGTGCACATCTGTTAACACAGATTCTGAAATCTACCCACAGCTAAGTTAATAACCAAACTTTCCATTTTGCGAATTCCATGATTGCTGAATTTAAAGAGCCCCTATTATATATTAAAAAGGATCATATTTTGATTTTAAGGTTCTCCAACAACAGGCTGATATGCATCCAAGGTCAAAAAACACTTTCATTGTCTTATAGTATGCATTAATTTTTACCTAAATACCCAGCGACTTCCATATGATTCGTTCAGCGATTCATTTGTTCCCAAACCCCTCCTTAGCGCGAAGCTAATCTGCGCTGATTGGACGGATGACAGCCTGTTTCAATTGGTCGATACTGACAGCGTTCAGCGCGAGAGAGAGTGAAATGTCCAGCATGACTTATCAACAATATTGAAGTATTCAGAGTGCATAGTGTATGTGTGAGCATACCTGCCAACACTCCTGTTTCATTTTGGTATGGTCTGTGAAACCCCTGGGTCGCAAGCATTGGTATAGGATCCGAATCGCAGCCGCCACCCAAAACACGCTTCATAGTAGTTACTAACACCAAAGTCCACAGTATACGGTTCTCAACCGTGTTATTCAGACATCTCCCACCCTGAATCTAACCCAACCGGTCTCCCGGATTTTCAGGGACAGATGTTGGCAGGTATGTGTGAGACCGAATGCAGTTTAACACCAGCATATTGCTCTATTCTTAACCATAAGTAAAACAGTGATACACATTCAGTATTAATCCACACATACAAAATAATGCGGAGGTATTTTTGCAAAAATAAACCTCAACCACTGACTCTTCACAATTTCATCTTTCGGTAGAGAAAATAACACTTATTTTCCCTCACACTTCCAATAATATCCGGCTGAGCAAAGAGTCTTCATTACTTGATTCAGCTTTGATCTGCTACAGTGTTTGTCTTTCTCTTTTTCTTTGCTACTGTGCTAGTTGGGGGAGGTTGCAGGTTTCAATTTTCCTGGGTTTGCTCAAACAACAATTGGGCGGGGCTTAAGTTTTGCATCCACGTCACACTGAAACAGCTAAAGACTCATTATCAAGACAATTCATTTGAAACACTGAGTCGACTTTTATATAAATGAATCAATAGTTTTAAACGGTGCACTTTAAAATTTAAGACTTAGCTGGATATTTCACTTCACTTAGAGCGGTGTTACACACTACATGGAAGGTCATTCTCAAAACCCATAATAGGGGCTTTTTAATACAAAATCAAGCAAATGTTGTGTTCACATTTTTTTAATTGATGCAAATTTCTTGCATATATCTGACAGATGAGACACGGTACAAGTTCACGCCGTACCACAGAGTGCCATCCCCATAGATTTAGATTCAAAAACACAGTATTTAAACATAAAAATTCACCACATAATCAATCATTTTAGTCTGCTAAATTCTGGAAAGACAATAACAATAACAGTGTAGTAATACGTAATAATAGTGGAGAGTTTGGTTTTGTATTACAGCTCAACTTCCCATGCTTCCTGAAAAGACTCCCTAACTGGCAAGCCAAACAAATACAGGTACACATCATTCTAAATCATTTCCCACAATCCTGAAGCTCTCTAAGCTTCTTTTATAAACCGTCAGTGTTGAAACTGTCTCTGAGGGGTTTTAAACTTACCTCGAAACTGTAATGCCTGCCATCTCCTCCCACAGAAACCTCCTTCAAAATGATCTTCTCAATGTGCACCACTGCAACATCAAAAGGACACCATCATTATAATTCTGCAACAGTTTTTGTATCAGTGTGTCTTTGTGCTGAAATACAGAGGTGTGATACCTTCACGCTGTGATGTGCTGCTGAGGTGTGGGTTTGCATTGCTGCAAAGAGTCCAGTCTCCATCATCCTCGCGGTGAGGACAGAGAAACCCCGGTCTGGAAAACTGGCTCTGTGACAGTGAGGGAAAAAAATAAGTTATTAAAAAGGTGAGTGTAAATATACATTTTTAACTAGACAAACTTTAGGTTTATTATTATGAATATCAACTAAAATCATCAAAAATTATTTAACAAAAGAATGCACATCAATCTCAACTGGGTGCTTAGCCAAACACAACAAATGCAAATAAATATATGAAAAGGCGGCAACACTTAGACCCCCAACAGTCTCACATTTTTTCACTTAAAAAATGCTATCATTTCTTAATCAGACCTTCCCAAAACTGTTTTGTTTATATTTTAGATCATTTAGAGATGTTAGAGATATAATATAAAAGATATTTAGAGAAGCTTAACTGTTTAAAACAAACTTAGTTTTTTTTTCAATTTAAGGTTTAAAATGTCAAAATTAAAGATTATTAAACTTAATATGTGGCTTTTGAACTTTTATAATTGTACTCTTATATATAAATAATACCCTGATTTATGGTTTTATATAGATATAAGGAAAACGTCAAATGTAATGTAATCTAAAAACATTTAGTTTTTATCTGATTAATCGAAAAAAAACAATCGGCAAATATATTGATTATCAAAATTATTGTTAGTTGCAGCCCTAGTTTTAACTAAATGCTTCTGTAAATGTATGTCTTCTACACAGAATATCATGTTTTATATATATCATACATATCACACAACAGATTTCATAATAGCATTCAAATAAGCAGTGACAAACTTGCATCATTACATTCTTCATTATTAGAGAAATTATAATAATAAAAACTAAAATACATCCTATGTTGTCATGGTCATGTGTTTATTAATCCGTTGAATCAAATAAAAGCAGTTTAATCTTCGGTTTATCCTACAAGGATTTACCATAGGCTGCGTCAATAATCGCCTAGTTGTCGGTACGTTCTGCATTTAAATTTAAATGTACTACTCGGCCGTTAGAAAAGTATGTTCTATACCAGGGGTCATCAAACTTGTTCCTGGAGGGCCGGTGTCCTGCAGATTTTAGCTCAAACCCTAATCAAACACACCTGAACAAGCTAATCAAGGTCTTCCTGGGAATACTTGAAACATCCAGGCAGGTGTGTTGAGGCAAGATGGAGCTAAACCCTGCAGGGACACTGGCCCTCCAGAACCAGGATTGGTGACCCGTTCTATACAGTATGAATGTGAGCAGTATGAATGGAACTCGGATGTACTACATCCACCATTTTGTCATGATAACATGACCTACCACCCGTGTCAGCTGCACAGATTCACTCCCATTCATGAATTTTTCTCTCGGTGTATCATGGAATAGCGCAGCGTCCATCGGACACACACTTTAGAATCTTGCCGAAAGTAGTAGGTCATCCGGGTACTTCTCGCATACTATTATCCGAATTCTATAAATTCGGACATACTACTCAACACGCATACTAATTTTAGCATACTACATAGTATTGAAAGTAGGCGATTTCAGACGCAGCCATTAGGTGAGTCTCAAATCGCATACTTATGCACTATTCAATGCCATTTTGTAGTATAAATAGTGTAAGTATTGTGTTCACACTGAAAACTCTAAAAATAGTAAGTGCACTTTAATTACCCGCATGATGCACTTGTTCAACCGTTAAAATGAAATGTGGAATGATGGACACTTCATGCACTTAACGACCACAGCTTTGCTCACGTGGCAGAAGGGGAGGAACTATCGGCGCTGATGTTGGATAACTTGATTTATTTTGGATTGTGAAAGCAAAGTTCTCCTACTAGAGTGATTATAGCGCCTCCTGATGGTGAATGCAGTTATACTCCTGGCAGGTATTATTTGGAACTTTCACTAATTTGGCAACTGACAAACATCATCAGAGAATCGGTTTGAATTTTCGCTTAGTAAAAAAACAGTGTCCCATTTGGGATGACACTACATATACTCTGCTGTTGAGTGTGTAAGGGCACAAGTACACAGTGCATGAGTGTATAGTGTGCCATTGGGACGCAGCTACAGACTGGTAATTCCTGGTTTTCTTTAAGGCATATTTGGTTGTTCTGCACGACTCGCGAGAGCACCCACTGGTTTTCCGAGGAAAATTACAGCTGATCATACTTTCTGCTTATGACGTGCGAGAGAAAAAAAAAAAAATAAAAAAAAAAAAATCACAGCTTTTGCTAAATCGTAAATGGGATTTTATGTTGATTTATCGTTACGCTCTAATGCAATGTTTTTTGTTTTTTTTTTGTCATTTTTGTTAAATGTAAACTGAAATCGCCATTAAAACAACATTTCACACAGATACACAAAATACATGTATGATAGGCCTGCTCATACTTTGACACAAAAACCACTGCTGTCACTCAAACCATTCATTTAAAAATGCTCAATATGTGAAAAATCAACTTTATTTGTGAACTAGCCCCTGTTTTTTTAGCTCAATCGCATTGAAACAATTGTTCTACAAATCTTTGGACTGCCTAGATCAATAATTTCTTTATTGCACACAAAAGTTTTTTTTTTTTTTTAATAAGAAAGAAAAACGCATGTAGAATTTGAGCATGTGAATTGTACCCTCACAGGTTTCCAGATTTTGGGATGTATGATCAAGGAACTAGGCAAACCAAATCAAACCATTCCCAATCAGTCAGTGTGTCAATTAATTTGATTAAACCAAACGACCCCCCCCCCCCCACCCATTTCCTCTTGTTTTAAAGCAATTGAGCATAATGCCTCAGCAGCTTACATGACCATGACTCATCACCATCATTTAAACCATTACTCTCAACTTGACATCAGCAACAAACAACAAACATCCACAAACAGACAGAGAATGTCATTTCGGAGACCTGATTCAGTCTAATGAGTGGGGACGTCCCATGTGATGAAAAATAGCACACATGACCTCATTTACAAAATGCAAAACCCATAATAAAGTCCTTCACAAAGAAAAATATCAAAGGAGATCAGGGAGAATGGCATTTGGACACACATACAGTAGCATGACCCAAAATTCCTGCAAGACACAGATGAATTTACAAACCAAATGTCATGTTCAATCATCTGGTTGTACTGGAGTTTGGATGTCTGATATGGGATATTTATATTAAGTGGTTTGTTGACATCTGGCTATAGTTTACATTTGATAACTAAAGTAACTTTTATCACTTTTTAGTACATTTAATGTTAGTGGAATATTTTTTTCCAAAATAAATGTTGAATATATTTGACCACAGTTTTTACCGTCTTCAAGGCTAAGCTTTAACCTGACTGAACTTATTGACAACTGCCAATCTTTTAACGCAAGTAAGTACATGTATCCTACACGTATCTGGCTGATTAATGATAAATCAATACATTATTAATTTTTTAATTAATCCTGTTTTACTGAACTAAAACTGGAAAAAAAAACTCCTGTAGCTTTTGTAATTCCTTTAACCAATAACATGACATTTGTTAGACCTGTAAATGTCATGCCCTAAAATAATATCATAAAATATCCTATTAGATCAAATAAGAATCAAAGATGGATTTTAGTTTATTTAAGTGGATCTTATATTCCAACCGGGATACTGATTGAAAAGTATGCTAGAAATTCCAACAGATCCAGCATGCATTCCTGTTTGACTGGAGGCTATTCCTGTTCATGCACCACTTAATGTCTGTTTAAGTGGTGGAACTAGGAAATACTGATGGTCTCACACTGTAATACCTTGGCATTTTGAAATATAGCATGGTATTAGTGTGAGAAATAATGTAGTTTTGTTGATTCATGATTTTGAAACCCTACATGGCTTCTACTTATTCTGTACATTTACCATGGCATAGTTTTTATAAGAATATCATGACATACATTAATATGTTGTCTTTGGACATTTTATTAGTGACTTTTTCCAATGCATAAATCATGATTTTTTGGGGACAAGTACCATAATAATGCATTTTAATACCTTGGTAAGGCTGTAAATATTGTACTCTAACAAATATAGTATATTTAATGTTCTCAAAATGATGGTATTTATACGTTTCTCCATGATTTTTCAATGAAAGACAAAGTATGAGTGACTTTACGCAAATCAATAAAAAATACCATGTTTTGGACATACCATAGTATTTCCTGGAGTGCCATGTAAATACCATAATACATGCATTTAAATATTTTGGTGTATAATAAAGAGCCAAATGTTTATCATATTATATAATTAGTATACCATGGTACTTACTTTTCTGTTAAGGTGGTACTCCTAAAAATACCATGGTACTAATGTCATGTTTATGTAGCAATATGATATTCAAAAGACTATGGTTTTTATATTATGTTTCTGTATTATATACTGACGACATAAAAATAGTTCTAGTCATGGTGTTCATACATTACTCCATGTTTTTAATAAAAGCCATAGTATGAGTGTCTTTAACACAAAACAATTAATAATAACTACCATGTTTTTGGACATAATACCCTAGTAGAACCATAGGATTTCCTGGAGTGATATGTAAATACCATAATACATGCATTTAAATATTTTGGTGTATAATAAAGAAACTAAAGTTTAATTGTATGATATCATCAGTATATATTGGTACTTACTTTTCTGTTAGGGTGGTACTCCTAAAAATACCATGGTACTAATGTCTTGCTTTTTTCGCAACATGATATTCATAAGACCATGGTATTTATATTATTTGACTGTTATATATAAACACTGACACTGTTAGCATAGTTCTAGTTTCTTAAACTTACATACAGATATGTTTAATAGTTATTTAACCAATACATGAAAAAGTACCATTCCATCATGTTTATGGACATGATACAATAGTAAGTTGGTAAAATTCTCTGGAGTTCCATGTAAATACCCTGGTTGTACCATTTGATGTCGTTATGATATAACGTTAACGTTATAAAGATTGTTTATTTCGAGTACTAGTTCAAACCATATAACTTAATTACAATTTTAGCAAATTTTATTAATGTCAGTGATTTTGAGGTAAATATTGCTACACACCCATCTTTGGAGTCTGTCCAACTGCGCTCGCAGCTCTTCCCGCTGATAGAAACTGAACGCCGGGTGTAGCGAGCCCATGGTGAAGAGCAGCCGCAGCTGATCCACCGTCTCCGGCTCCGGTAGAGCCCCGTACATACCCACGTCCATCCGACTCAACGTCCTGAAGAGAATACAGGCGCATTCCCTGCTCTTGGAGCCGAGCAGAGACAAATACACGAGTAGTTTAGACAACACCACGGGATCGCTTACGTCTACCAGCCCTTCCAAATCGGCGGGGCTGTTGGCCCGGATCTCGAAGTCCCGCAGGACGGTGAAATCTCTCCGGGCCAGATCCTCTAGACAGGCGCCGAGGAAACGCAGCTCTAACGGCTGACACATATGCAGAAGCCCGCAAAGCAACTCCACGCGTCCGGCCGGGTTCAACTGTAGCCCGAACCACTCAAAAACCGCCTCCTTATCGAGCTGAGCCGCCCCGATGCCGCTCTCCCGATCCGCTCCGTTAACGGAATTCAAGTCGCATCGGTAATTTTCTCCTCCCGCCGCTCGCAGCTTCATCTTCATCATTATCAGCTCTCAAACACGATCGTCAGAGATGGAAGTCCATGGATGGTGCTTACCGGCCAATATCTCGGCATCAAAACTCGATGAAATCCCCAGTTTGGGACGGATTTTCGTTTTTAAAAATCGCTGTCGGTAGTCTGACGGTGTGGCTGTGGTCAGTTTGCCAGAGATTACTCGCCTGCCGTGCCTCCAGAATATCCTGTCAATCATCTGTGACTCCGCCCACTCGGTTTATGAGTCCCAGGGTCCTAAACTCACCCCTTCGCTCCTTTTCCCAAATAGAATTGATGTAAGAACGTAGAATTAAATTAATGTGGAATTTAATTCATTTTTATGGAGTGATTTGACTTTAACAAAATATTTAATTATATTATTAAGTTTATTAGTTATTAATGTAGCAACACGTGATTAAATATTATAACTCATATTTTAAGTTATAGATAATATAGAATTGTGAGTGACCTTTTAAAAAAACTACGTAAAAATAAATATAATAAAAGACATACAAGTTATTGGTTAAACTTTGTAATCACAGTGAATAAATTCTTCCGCTAAATCAAATAGTTCCAGAACAGTGTTCGCTCATTGATACATAATTCAAACGACACATGCCGGGAGAACTACTTTCTTTCTACTCTTTCTAGAATGTCTCGAGTTCGTCCAAGTGTTTTTAATTTTGGTTTTGATTGGATTCTTGCTTGTATCCGTGGTATTAACAAATTTGTGTTGATTTTTACATGTATAAATGCAAATTATTACATACGAACCTGTTAAGTAAGGATTAAAATACTACAACGGTATTGTTTGACGATGAATCTGACAACCATTATAGTTCTGTAAAAACATAGTGGCTTCAAAATGTGGCTTGGAATGGCGTCAATATAATATTATGTATCATATAATGTAAATTATACACCTATATTATGTACAATATGAACTATATTAAGTTATGAATCAACAACCATCCTTGCCATCGACTTCCGATAGGAGCTGGTATTAGCTGGTCAGGCTGGGAGATGACCAGCTGAAACCAGCCTAGTCACGCTGGGAGCCCCGCCAAAACCGGCTATGTCCAGCTTAAACCAGGCTGGTCAAGCTGGTTTTAGCTGGTCATTTTCAGCCTGACCAGCTAAGACCAGGCTGGAAATGGCTGAACATCAGCCTGGAACCACACTGGTCTACCAGCTAAAACCGGACCTGTTTTTTTTTTCTGCATGGCGGCCGTGTAGGTTTTAATTGGATTCTTACTTGTATTTGTGTAATAACGAATTTATGTTGATTTTTACATGAATAAATGCAAACAGCCTACATACGAACTTGTTAAATAAGGATTAAAATACCACAAGGTTTACGTTATTGATTGTCGACGAATCTGAAACCATTATAGTTCTGTAAAAAAACCGGTGGCTTCAAAATCCCCTTGATATGGCGTCAATATAATAATATAGATAATATAAATGTATATCATGTAAATTAGGCTATATACATATATAATGTAAAATATGAGCTTTAAAAAGTCATAAATCCATAACCCCAAGAGTATAGAATACATTTAACGTTAAAGGACTTTAACGTTAAATAACCTTTTTTTTTATTAATAACTTCAAGAAATAATAAGGACTTTGATAACTTTTGAGTTATCACAGAGACGATGACGTCGTCGCAGGTATTTAATCTCACCTAAGTTTTTTCTTATATTTAAAAACCTTTTGGTAGATTTTTTTAAACGATGAATCTTACAAAGAACACATTTATATTTGTTTTTATTTTAAAACCCCGTGCAGCTCCTGTTCTGACCACTAGATGTTCCCAAGATTGAAGTATGCAAGTTGTACCCTGGTTGTACTCATTAAGTCCACTAGAGGGAGACATTGTATAGCCATAAAGCGATTATTTCAACACTGCTTAATATTTATCATGAACATCTAGAGTTCGCATTCAGCAAATATCATGACCATCCTCCTCTCAATATATGAAGAAAAGCAGAAACATTTCCCATTCTTTAGGTGAATCCCACATTTATTTCCAACGCTCTTCCACCGTAGATCCTCCACACAACAAATGCATTGTACTTCATTTCATCATATTATAAACACTGCACACCATTAAACCAAACACCTATGCTTCAGTTCAGTTGTTTATGTCTCCTCTATTTTTGTCTAATGTGATTCCTCTGGTACCCGGAGGAGCCCACCTCTGATCCAAAATAGCTCTGCTAATACATAAATGTGTTTGAACAGCGGATCTGTGTGCAAGTCTGTGGTGTACAAATATATACACAGGGACGTTTAGCAAAACAGCTCACAGGTACATACTCCTTCCTCAGGTACTAATGTGGTTGGATGTGCTCCTTTCCTTCTAAACATCTTTTTTTATTCATAAACAGGCCGATGGAGAACGACGGTGGTCCCCAAAGAGTTATTTCCCAGTAATAGGAGTCAAAGCAAGGCGCCAACATCTGTGTTTAAGTATCTGGCCTAAGCTGATGGAAACAAGCTATGTGCTACTGGAAGGATAAGAGTCCTAACACAAAAGACATCGCACAGACATGATGTTAATGTAATGTCAGTGGACTCTTCTAAATAACTCAATGCATGACAGCAGAAAAAAATAAAGAGCTTTTTTGGACTGCGCTATTTGCGGATCGGGCCTAAGGATTGGAGGCTTGGAGCCATTTGGCTTGACTTTCTTTGAAGATGGTTTTGTGGAGGGTTAAGCCCATACTCCTCCCTCTCTCTGATGCCTGTCGCTCTTTCATTCTGCCCAGGAAAGGCAGTACGTCACTGTGGGTGCAGATATAAAATAGTCTGTGGCTGTACCTTGCCATCTGCACACTGTTCCTGCAGCACTGCACTGTAATTCATGTCAGTGATGAGAGGGTTTTTAGCTGGTGTCTTGTAGTGTGTTGGTGGCGACTGGCTGTTTCAACTTGTGGATATCCAGGACATTTTTGGTGAGAGAATTACTTCTTTTTACTTTTCTTTTTTTTAACTTGTTGGTTGAAATATTTGATGTTCTAACTGTTTTACTAGTGACAGGGTTCATACGGTCATGAAAATCCTGGAAAAGTCATGGAATTTTGACATGGCATTTTTCAGACCTGGAAAAGTTTTGGAAAAGTCATGGAAATTAGTTTAACAAATATCTGTATACTTAAATATGGTTTAGTTGTCTTTACTTTATTTTTGTCCATGGCCGAACACATGCTCTCACATTGTTAATGCTTCGTGAGCATTATCTAAATAAAATGTACTTGTATATATATAAATATTTATTCAAATTAAATAGATTGTTGCATGTTTTATGAAATTCTATAATAACTTTGGACATGCATTGTTTTTCTTGTTATTTACCATGTACACATAGACATTACATGAAACATTAGGTCATGAAAATTTACTTGAAAGTCCGGAGTAGGCATGGGCTGGTATAAGATTCTGACGGTATGATAACCTTGGATAAAAATATCACGGTTTCACGGTATTGTGATTACTGCTCTAAAATATATTCTTTTTAAATGTCTGGGTAAAAAACAACAACTTTTTTCCTCTTTGTACATTCTATATTTAATTTTTTGAAAGATTTAAGATATATTGGAGCAGTAAACATGTCAGGCTAAATAATGAAAAAAAATCATTGACTTCTGTTGTCTTCATTAGATTTCTTTACAATTTAAAATGGCATTTTTGGATATATTTTCTGCTGGAGATACTGTTGTAAATAAAAAAGTAAATAAAAAATCTTACGCATACCTTGGGAACTTTATTTTTAGAAAATTTTGGCGATTTCAAAACCTTTACTTTTCCAAACAGTGGTATACCTTGAAAAAGGTTATCGTCCCATGCCTACCTGGAAGTCATTGAATTTTAGTAGTAAAAATGTGTATGAACCCTGCAGTGAATTTGTAGAAATTTTTGAGTGGAAATTCATATTAATGCCACAGTTTTTGGATATCAAATTATTACTGTCTAATCATTGGATTGGAGAATTTTCACAGTAATTTTGTGATTTAAAAAAAAAAAAAAAAAGTAGTGTTTTTGAGTGAACGTGAATTAAATTATGCTAGATATAGATTCAATTAAACGCATATTAAGTTGTGGCGGTGCATTCCGCTGTGGCGACCCCAGATTAATAAAAGGACTAAGCCAAAAAGAAAATTAATAAATGTACATTAAGTAGTTAGATATTGCACATTTATTTACATTTTAAATAACAAATAAAATTGTAATTTATAAATCGTTGAAGCTCTTCTGTTAAAGTTTTCTTATCCCAAGCATTTATTCATTCATTTATTTTATTTTCGGCTTAATCCCTTTATTAATCTGGGGTCACCATAGTGGAATGAACTGCCAACTTATCCAGCATATGTTTTACCCAGCAGGTGCCTTTCCCATCACTAGGAAACATCCACACACACTCATTCACACACATACACTTTAGCTTATCCAATTCACCTATATCACGTTTTTGGACTGGTGGGGGAAACCGGAGCATCCGGAGGAAACCCACGCCAACGCAACGAGAACATGCAAACTCCACACAGAAATGCTGACTGACCCAGCCGGGGCTCGAACCAGCGGTGAGACGATTGTGCTACCCAGTGCGCCACTGTGCTGCTCTTGTCCCAAGTAGTGTTGGGGAAAGTTACCTTCAAAAGTAATGCATTACAAAATTGAGTTTCCCAAAAAAGTAACTAGTAGCGTTACTTTTTAAGTAAGTAATGCATTTCATTACTTTTGAGTTACTTTTGTGTTACTTTTTATTACCAGGCTGAGGCTTGATCTCTTTCAGAACTTGTTTTTTCTTTTCTTTCTTTTTTTAATAGAGGAGTTCTGCAATTAACAACACACTGTATAAACATACCTCCTATAAGTCCAGAGCTATACATATACATTAAGGCTGGGCATTTATATGAAAAATAATCAAAAGGATTTATTTTCTCTTTTTATAAGAAAAAAATGACTTGGTTTTAGGCAATGTGTGTTTTAATTTCAGTTGTTCAACGTTGCTGTTCAATAAATAATCATAGACAGTAGATAGTGTGTGTTTCCTTCAATTATTTTCAAATCAAGTAACGCACCCTTCATTCAAAAATCTCTCACTTGTAATATTTGAGCATATTTATTATATAAAACCTGTCAGTGAGCTATGAGGGAAAAATAGATAAATAAAACAATCATTCATTAATCGTAATTGGGTTAAAAAATTTAATTAATCGAGATTTTGATTTTAGGCCCAGCCCTACATGCCGTATATATAAATTGTTGAAAGTTTAAAGCAATGTGTTTGCTTTTGTACTATTTGTCTTAAGTAAAATCACTGTTCATTGAGGCGATACCCTTTTCCTTTTCTTCAATGCAATCAAAATAATGAACACATTCTCTCATTGACTGCTGGATTCATTGTGACTACTTCAATTTGAATTAAGAAAAGTATTTTTAAAAAGCTAATTAATACAATTAAAAAGTAACTCACATTACATTTTCAAAAATGTAACTTCTTGCGTAAGTAAAGGAGTAAATATTTACTGTATTTTTAAAAGTAACGCATTACAAGTGGGCGAGGCAGTGGCGCAGTAGGTAGTGCTGTCGCCTCACAGCAAGAAGGTCGCTGGGTTGCTGGTTCGAACCTCGGCTCAGTTGGCGTTTCTGTGTGGAGTTTGCATGTTCTCCCTGCGTTCGCGTGGGTTTCCTCCGGGTGCTCCGGTTTCCCCCACAGTCCAAAGACATGCGGTACAGGTGAATTGGGTAGGCTAAATTGTCCGTAGTGTATGGGTGTGTGTGTATGTGTGGATGTTTCCCAGAGATGGGTTGCGGCTGGAAGGGCATCCGCTGCGTAAAAACTTGCTGGATAAGTTGGCGGTTCATTCCGCTGTGGCGACCCCGGATTAATAAAGGGACTAAGGTGACAAGAAAATGAATGAATGAATGCATTACAACATAACAATATTACTTTTTTAAGTAACGAGTAAAGTACAAGTACAAGTAAACATCCCAAGTGATGTTTAATGGAGTGTGGAAATGTGTGCGGTCAATATTTTGAACCCCCTTTATAATTGCTTTTTTCGAATTTTCTGAAGAACAAACCACAATAATTAATTAATCTAACCAGATTAACTTAGTTAGCCTTTAAATCGCAATTTAGGGTAAATTGCTGGCAGCTAGCTCTCTGCAACTCTCACATGGTCGCCAACTGAAGCTAAGCAGGGCTGTGCCTGGTCAGTGCCTGGATGCTGGAGACCACATAGGAAGGCTAGGTTGCTGCCGGAAGTGGTGTTAGTGAGGCCAGCAGGGGGCACTCAACCTGCAGTCTGTGTGGGTCCTAACGCCCCATTATACTGAAAAGAACGCTATACTGCCCAGTGAGTGCCATCTTTCGGATGAGATGTTAAACTGAGGTTCCGACTCTCTGTGGTCGTGAAAAATCCCAGCATGTCCTTTGAAAAAGAGTGGGGGTTTAGCCCCCGGCATCTAAAGTTTGCCCACTGGCCTCTGTCCATCAAGGCTTTCTAACCATCCCAATATCCTAATTGGCTTCATCGAAGAAAAAGTGTCTAGAAAAGTGGTAGATAAATGTAACGAATTATCATTATTATTATTATTAAATAGTAGTATCTTGTAAACTATCTAGTAAGATATTATGTATTACTGTTATCATGGCCAAGAAAAAACATACTTAAAAATTAGTTATTAAAACTATTATGTATAAAAATTATTCTTTCTTTAAAAATTAAAGTAATTTAAAAATTTCTCTTTTTTTTTCTCCTCAGGATTTTCTACCTGCTGCTTGGCTTTTTGCTTCCATACCATGAAGCCATGGATGTTTGGTTCACTGATTGTTTGTGTTTTGTTGCTGCACACCAGTGGATTACAACAAGAGGACACTCAAGCCGGTTTGTTTTTAGTCAATATATCATTGGTTTGTTGTTAATGATTAATATTATCAATACAAAGCTGCATTTAAATGACACTATTGATGAATTCCTGTAGCTCAACCGGTTAGGCAGTTGCAAGGGCTGCGCAATATTACCATAATTTCATATAACCACATAGAAAAAATTATTTATTTTTTACATTTTAAAGAATATGCTCAAAAATATAGTCATTCATATGTGACTATTTTTCTTACTTTTTATATAATCTGGCAAATATTAAATTCAAAATGTACAAATATAAATAAATATGAATGAAATTTAAAACACTTTTCTAAAAATATTAATAATCACAGTCCTATTGTTAAATATCGCTAAAGAACATGATAAATGTAAACATTGTTCTTTCAAGGTTGTAGCTTTCTCACCATACTCTTATTCACTTTTCTGTCAGCATCCTAGTATTGGTGTGTAAGACTACTATAAATCCAAATTATGAAAAAAAAACATTGCTGTAAACCAGGAGTCACAAACCTTTTGGAAACTGGGAGCTACTTCTTGGGTATCGTTTAATGTGAAGGGCTACCAGTTTGATACACACTTCCTAATAACAAATTTGCTCAATTTACTTTTAATTATATGTTATTAATATTTAATGATATTCATCAATGTGAAGACACTGATCATGTTAATGATTTCTCACAATAGTTGTTAGCAATGATTGGAAAGATAAATATCAACCAATGCAAGTGTGATTTAAAAAGAATAGCTAAAAAAAAATATTAGATGCAGCTTACTGGTATGTGGTGCTATGGTAAGCAAATTTTTTAACAGGGCCACAGGCAACTCATGTGATCATCGCGGGCTACCTGGTGCCCGCGGTCACCATGTTGGTGACCCCTGCTGTAAACAATGTAATTTGCAACATCACAAGAAAATAAAGCTCAGCAGCACACCATTGTAACGAGGAGACTGACACGGAGGGATCCATTATGCAGTATTTATTTATCAAGCTCTCACTCAAACACACAATATGCACCAATGTGCAAACACACATCAACAAACGTCTTAAAGGTATCAAGACTGGTGGTAAACAGACACAGAGGGATTTACTAGACATGAGTCAAAGGCAGGCTGCTTGAATCAGAGTCCGTGTATCAGGCTTGGGTCATGGGCAGGTAGCGAGTATCAGAGTCCGTGTATCAGGCTTGGGTCGTGGGCAGGCAGCGAGTATCAGAGTCCGTGTATCAGGCTTGGGTCATGGGCAGGTAGCGAGTATCAGAGTCCGTGTATCAGGCGTGGGTCGTGGGCAGGCAGCGAGTATCAGAGTCCGTGTATCAGGCTTGGGTCATGGGCAGGTAGCGAGTATCAGAGTCCATGTATCAGGCTTGGGTCATGGGCAGGTAGCGAGTATCAGAGTCCGTGTATCAGGCTTGGTTCGTGGGCAGGCAGAAGGCGAAGCAGAGTCAGAAATAGGCTGGAGTTGTACATGAGAGATCAGGCAGGAAATAACGCTCAGTAATGCTGGCCGGGGCTAAACAAGACTTCGCACTGACTGAGCGTTTGGAGCTGGCTTATAAAGGGTACGTGGGTCGTTAGCTTGATTCAGTTCAGGTGTGCTAGATCAGTGTAAGTGGATGATGTAATGCTTAGAAGTCCGGAGATGGTGGCCTCTGCTGGCCAGCGAGGGGAATGACTGGGACCGAGTCGGTGACAACCATAAAACAACAGACTTTTTATTTTGTCTATACAATAGATATAGTCATATTGCAAAGCCCTGGTATAAACTGAATGCAATGTAGATCTGTCAGATCCATAAACTTGAATGTACATTTTATGTCAACAATTATGAAAATATCTTCAGTAATTTTTCTTTCTCTATTCTGTGTTAAAAGGGACCCTATTGTGCCCAAATGTAAAATAAGTCTCTGATATTCCCAGAGTGTGTACAAGAAGTTTCAGCTCAAAATACCCCACAAATAATCTTTTAGAACTCTTTAAAACTGCTCCATTTAGATTTTGATGTCAATTGTGCCATTTTGGTGACTGTCTCATTACATTCAATTGAGATTATAGTCCCAGCCCTCTTTTCAAAAGAGGGCGGAGCTACAAATGCTTAAGTGTCAGCATAGTGGCAGATTCCAAAACAAAACTAATGTCCCATGCTAGTGAGGGAGAGATCCTCACTAATGGGCGGGGCTTTCCCTCTCTGATGACACATACAAAGGAAGAATGTCAATCAAAGTGTTCCTGTAGACTGTTTTTTATCAAGTGTGATTATAAAAAAATATATGTATACATTTTTACTATTATAAGATGGCTATATTCACAGACTGTTGCTACACAATTGTTTAAACCCCTTATGTAAGTGATTTTAAATAATAGGTCCCCTTTAATGTTGTAATTCAGGTAAACTCTGAACAAACCTGACACTATATATGCTCAAGAATTGTAACATGTGGATCATATGGGCAAATATTTTGCAGGTTGCAGCACAACACCCAATGACCTCGCATTCATCATCGATGGCTCCTCAAGCTTGGGTGTCCCTAACTTCGAAACAGCCAAGCGTTGGCTCATCAACATCACCAAAGGCTTTGACGTGAGCAGCAGACACACTCAGGTAGCGGTTGTCCAGTACAGTGACACCCCTCGACTGGAGATTCCTCTGGGAAAGCATCAGAACAGCCAAGAACTTGTCGAGGCGGTCGGCTCCGTCTCATACCTGGGGGGAAACACGCGGACTGGACGCGCCATCAAGTTTGCCACAGACCATGTCTTCGGGATGCCCAACCACACCTCCCAGTCTCCCAGAAACCGCATCGCTGTGGTTCTCACAGATGGCCGTTCACAGGATGACGTAGAGGACGCCGCTATGGAGGCCAGGGCGCAGAATATTGTTCTGTTTGCAGTCGGTGTGGGAAATGAAATCACTAATTCTGAGTTGGTGTCTATGGCTAATAAACCAGCGTCTACTTACGTGCTGCATGTGGAGGATTACAACTCCATTGCTAGCATATGGGACCTGATGGAGCAGAAACTGTGCGAGGGTGAGTCCTGCTTGACTTTGGAACACATTTTTTGCTATAACCATTGACACTAGTGACATTTATAGGGATGTAAACTTGGGTCAAACAGTGGTTTGCACTGTCGCCTCAAAGCAAGAAGGTTGCTGGTTTGAGTCATGGCTGTGCCAGTTGGCATTTGGAGTTTGCATGTTCTCCCTGTGTTGGTGTGGGTTTCTTCTGGGTGCTCCAGTTTCCCCCACATGCGCTATAGATGAATTGAATAAGCTAAATTGGCCATAGTGTCTAAGTGTGTGTGAATGTATGGGTGTTTTCCAGTACTGGGTTGCAGCTGAAAGGACATCTGCTGCATAAATATGCTAGATAAGTTGGCGGTTCATTCCGCTGTGGCGACCCCTGATAAATAAGGGACTAAGTTGATGGGAAAATGAATGATGAATAAACTGGGGGCCCAAAACATGTTTAATCCTGAGTAGAGACTTTTGGTCATCGTCTACAAAGTCATGATGCCTGCCTCCAAGCCAAGCTATTTTTGAACTGGTGACTGTTTAGTGTTGCATGGTTATGCAGATTCTTTGCTTGGATTATTGTTAAAGGGATAGTCCTCCCAAAATGTTGACACTTTTTTTTTAAATCTATTTTGTTTCTTTCTTTTGTTGAACTCAGAAAGCAGATATTAAGAAAAATGCTGGTACCTGGGACTTCAATGGTATATTTTTCCTACCACGGAAGTCAACGGGTCCTAGCAATTAAGATTCTTTAAAATATGTGCTTTTGTGTTCAACAGAAAAAGAAACTCATAAATGTTTAAAACTACATGAGAGTAAATGATTGGTAATTTCAATTTTTAAGTGAAATATCCCTTCAAAACGGGTGACGCTGTGGCTCAGTAGGTACTGCCGTCACCTCACTGCAAGAAGGTCGCTGGTTCATGCCTCGGTTGGGTCAGTTGGCGTTTCTGTGTGGAGTTTGCATGTTTTCCCTGAGTTTGCGTGGGTTTCCTCTGGGTGCTGCAGTTTCCCCCACAGTCCAAAGACATGCGGTACAGGTGAACTGAGCAGGCTAAAATGTCAGTAGTGGATGAGTGTGAACGAGTGTGTATGGATGTTTCCCAGATATGGGTTGCAGTTGGAAGGACATCTGCTGCATAAAACATATTCTGGATAAGTTGGCGGTTTATTCCGCTGTGGCGACCCCTGATTAAAAAAGGGACTAAGCCGTTAAGAAAGTAAATGAATGAATATCCCTTTAAAGCTGATTTGCATAATGTTTTAATACAAAAAAAAATCAGCTGCAGAGGCTTAATGGAGACTTAACTGTTGTTAACTTTCAATAATACACTTTGTCTTACAATTCTCTCTTTCAATTACACTTACATTCAGCTGGGGTCTGTTCTTCATACATGGATTACTCAATTAGCTGGATTTGGTTGTTGACGATTTGACACGATCCAGGATCATTTCATTATTCAAAACTCATCGGAGAGTTGTTGTTGTTCTGACACCTGGCGTCTGTTCTTTGTACCTCGCTTAGTTGATCTATGAAGATTTGACAGATCCTGGATCTTTTAATCTTAATAACTGATCTCTGGCTAATTTGATTCTTCAAACAAGCTCACAAATCAGATTAGAATGTCTGGATGAACTGATCTAAGATCTCTGCGTGTGTTGTGAAGTACTGATCTATCAATCCTCGAAATCATGATCAGCAATGCAACGATTGGCAGACGGCACCGCAGCGTAATGACATCATCTGATTAATATTCAATTATCCATGTGCGCAAAAGTAAACAGTTTATTAAGTATGGTATGCAGTAACTTTCCACCTTTGTTGTGGGCTGCAGGCTTTACACTTTCATGTGTCGAGAGGATTTAGTGATTTATTTAGTTTTACATTTACTGTAGATTAGATGTTCTTTAAGCTTCTTAATCGGCTGAAGGAATAGCTGTTTTGCATCAAAACAGCGTTTTGATATCAGTAAAGGTGTCTGCAACGTTTTGTGAAGCATCAAATTACCATTTTCACGAGTTCACACCTACAGATGTTTAAGAAAAAGCGTAGTTGGCGTGCTTGTCCGGTGAGAGGGCTCTGAGCTCGGGGAAGACACCCCAACGCGTGTTATTCCCCTTATCAGGCAACAGAGAGAAGTTGAGATTCGAGCAAAGTATCTTGCCCGGCCCCAGAACGCTCCCCCCGGGTATGTAATGCTTAAGAGGTGAGGTGTCGGGGTGGTGGAGTGATGCAAGGCATAAGTCAGCGGTGGTGGAAGTCAGCATAAATTGTTCTTTCTTTAAAAAAAAAAACAGTCGAATGCTGTGCATGTCTATTATCATACACAAATTGAACTAAAGCTGGTACCTTAAAATAGTATGCAATGTGTCTAAAAATTCCATATTAACAAATGTCCACTTTGAAACCCTTGGGGAAAACCACCCCATCACAGCCTTTGTACTTTTAATTCAGAGTGCAGATCGCATAAGTTTATATATTTTAAGATAGTGTTTTAAAAAGTTTAAAACAAAAAAGGAACATTTCCTCACACTGAAGTGGTTCTACTCTTTTGTGGTTTTCTTTCTTCTGTTGAACACAAAAAAAAATGTAGTTAAAAATGTCGGAAAAAGCAGCCAATGAAATTCATCATAGCAAAAATTGTAAGGAAGTCAATAACTGTTTTTTTTTTAACAATCCTCCTTTTTTTCCATGTCAACATAAAGGCAGTGCGGTGCACCTCATGTTTTTGGAATGTAAATGCTTGTTCGATGTGATCGGCCACTTGGGTTGTAGTCTTTAAAAACAGCAATACTTTCTTGGCATATTAGACCTACCGCTTTCTGTCGGATATTGGTGAAGAAGTATTTTGTTGTCCATTCTTCCTTAAACACACGACATTCAGAGTAATTTTTTTTTGCCTGACTCATTTTCAGTCATTAACGGTCGAGTGTGTTCTAATTCTACTGGTTGCGCTAACTGTACCCTGTGCAATACTGCCATCAAATGGCGTTCACTTGTATTGCATCATTAATTTACTAATTCTGAAACCAAACCGTTACTAAGAAGCAGCATTTTAAAAACTACCTCGGGGGACGGATGCAAGTCTTCAGTGGCCCACCTCTGGTCTAGAAGAAACAACAGATATATTACATATTGAATTTTCCTCTTAATATACCCAGTTTTGGATTCTCTCATTCACAGAATCAGTGTGTCCATTGCGGATCCCTGGAACGGTGAACGATCAGAAAGGTTTTGATCTAATGAGCCTGATGAAGATCGAGCAGGTGGCTCAGAAAGTTCAGGGCTCTTTGATATCAGAGAGAGCATCACAACTCAGCCCTCGCATGGACATCACCCACAAAACCAGGTGATGTCTGTTTTACCACATCTCATGACTATGAACTGCATTTCAAGCACATGAAGTGTTTAAATGATGTAAATGAGATTTTGATTGAATTGTGGTTGGAAGTGAGTTGACTTTCAGCACGTGTTCCTCACAGAGAGATCTTTCCAGAAGGTCTTCCTCCAGCTTTTGTGTTTGTTGCCACTCTGCGCTTGAAGAATCCTGCTCACTGGATGAAGTTTGACCTCTTAAGAGTGTTATCTCAGGACGGGGTGAAGCAGATCGCTGTGACTGTGAACGGAGCCGACAAGTCGGTCATTTTCACCTGCACCAGCACTCTGAAGACAGAGCAGACCGTCATATTTAATGACCGAGGGATCAAGGTTTGTTTGTTTGTTTGTATACTTTATTGTCCCCTCAAGGGGAAATTTTCTGTAGACTCACCCAGCACTTCAGCAGGTTCTAACACAATAACAATTTAAAAGAATAAGTCAACATGCAAAAGAATTACACACACTATTGTACAGTGTTCGATAGTCTGATTGACACTGGAATAAAAGAGTTCTTAAATCTGTTCCGTTTCCAGCGGAAAGTTCTGTATCTTCTTCCAGAAGGTAAAAGTTCGTAAGATGGGAAGAGTACATGAGATGGGTTACTTAGATCTGTGGAGTTTCTGTGTCACCTTTAAAGGGATAAAACTTGCCTCACCGTTTACTGTTCCTCATGTGGTTTCAAACAATTATGAGTTTATTTCTTCTCTTGAACACAATCGAAGATATCTTGAAAAATGCTGGTTGGTGGCATATATTCACTTCCATAGTAGGAAGAAAAATACTAACAGGAATTCGATGGGTGACTTCAACTAGCATTCTTCAAAATATCTTCCTTTGTGTTCAACTAAAGAAAAAAACTCAAACACTTAATGGGTGAAGGGTGAGTAAATGATGACAGAGATTTCATTTTTGGGTGAACTATCCCTTTAAATCTCTTTTAAAAAAAAAGTCCCACTACCATTTTACATAGTATCTGTACTAAATAATATGCAACATTAGATTTATTGCGTCCCAAATTACCTAGTGTGTTGATAAAGGCTCTCAATTTTGTGGATTTTTTTTTTTTCAAAGTTTTTCATCAACATTACAGTAAATACTTTTTGAGTAATGTGGAATATGGGATATAGTTATGATTAGGCCTGTGCAGTATTGGAAAAATCTGATATTGCGATATTTAAATTTTTTTGCAATAAACATTGCGATTCTAATACAGTTTCACAAAATAGTTTGAATAGCACAACTTTTGAGCAGTCTATCAGTATTCAGGTACAGACATTGAATTACAGCGCAAAAAAAAAAATGCTTTTCTTACTTTGCTTTGTCTCGGTTTCATTCCAAACATCTAGAAATTCTTAGTTCAAGTTAAAAAAAAAAGTTTTATTTTCACCTTCAGAAGAAATAAGATAAGACAAAAAATAAAAGGTCAACTATAATTCAGACTCAACATTGCGTATCTTGTGATCTGACTATTGCTGATGCGCACATTGCGATATCGATGCTGGAACAATATATTGTTTAGCCCTAGTTATTATTAAAATATCTATACACGATGAAAATCAGTTGCAGTCAGAAATTGCAAGTAAATTCCACACGTAACTACTGATTAAATATCAAGTTAGATTTTGAATTAAGCAAAGACTGAAATAATGTTTTCTTCAATTTTAAAATGTACTCCAGTAATCTTTATTTGCTACTTTAAAAAGTCTCGTTTACAGTGAAGGAAGAATCTCAAAGCAGAAATTAAGGTCCCACTTTATATAGTGACCTTAACTAATATGTACTTACATAAGAATTAATAGTTTGTTACAATGTACTTATTGTGTAAATACATGTATTTACTGTCTACTTATGCTTGATTAAATACCAGTATGTAATTACATCTGTAATTAACTTTTGTAATTACATTTGTAAATACACTGTTGACCATCCCTTACACCTTAACCCACCCTTAAACCTACCCACGCCACCAAACCTGTTCATAACCCAACCTCTATCCCAACTCAAAGGCACCACAAGTGTTCTCAAATACATTATAAACACAGTAAGTACATTGTATTGATTTTTTGATGTAAGTACATAGTAGTTAGGGACACTTAATATAAAGTGGGACCGAAATTAAAAATGAGAAAATATAAAATATTTCATTCTACATCTGCATTTGTCTAATACAATTTATTAACACTCAGGTTAATACTTCACATGTAATGACAATTTTATTTACATAACCAGAAAAGCGCTATTTAAAGTACTTATAAAAATGAGTTGAAACAACACAATTCTTAATGTTTTCTGGGGACAAATTATTTGTTTTATGTTCAATCCGCTTTGACAATTAAGTTAGCTTATTCTATTTGTGTTGGGGAAACAAGAAGGGATTGTATGGAAGCCAGCCTTTTTTTACAGTGAATGTAAGGAATTATTATTGTTATTATTATTATTAAACATATGATTTATGTTTCCATAGAGGCTCTTTGACACGGATTGGCACCAGCTGAAGTTCCTAGTGAAGCCCAGACGCATCACTTGTTTTGTGGATGGAGCATATGTAGAAGAGCAGCTCCTAGATCCAGTTGTTCCCATCTACATTAACGGAAAGACTCAGGTGGCCAAGAAAGTCAACATTGAAACAACCGTCCCTGTGAGTGACCTCTTTTTGGCACCCCTGCCTCATCACCAACTTAAGTAAAAGCCTGTCACCATATTATGGTCCAGCACATAAAAACTCTCTCTTTTATATGTTTGTTCTCTTGTCCCAGATTTTACTCCAGAAGTTGCGTCTGTACTGTGACCCTCAGCAGAGTGAGCGAGAGACGGCATGTGAAATTTATTCTGTGGTAAGACTGTATTAGCTCACTGTTGAGTTATGCGACCTTCCATTTGACATGATTTAGCCAGGAAGGACATGTTTCTATCAAACAAATCTAAAGAGTCTCAACCAGGAATGCTCAAACTTTTTCTTGTGAAGGGCTTACACCAAACTTGATTGAGGGTGGTGGGCTGAAGGTAAAAATACCAAATATAAGTAGCCATGGGTAATTTTCTAATGTATTTAATATTTAAAGATAACTAGAAAATATTCCTTTATATTAACTAATGCAGTATTCATTTATTTTCCTTCGGCTTAGTCGCTTTATTCATCAGGGATCGCCACAGTGGAAGGAACCGCCAACTTATCCAGCATATGTTTTAGATAGCGGATGCACTTCCAGCCGCAACCCAGTACCGGGAAATACCCAAACACACTCATTCACACACATACACTACGGACAATTTAGTTAATACAATAGGGCATGTCTTTAGATTGTGGGGGAAACCAGAGCACCCGGAGGAGAACTTGCTAACTCCACACAGAAATGCCAACTGATCCAGCCAGGACTCGAACCAGCAACCTTCTTGCTGTAAGGCAACAGTGCTAACCACTGAGCCACCGTGATGCTAATGCATTACTCATTCATTTTCTTGTCGGCTAAGTCCTTTTATTATTGTGGGGTTGCCACAGCAGAATGAACCGCCAACTTATCCGGGACATATTTTACACAGCGGATGCCCCTCCGGCTACAACCCATCTGTGGGAAACATCCACACACTCATGCACACTCATTTTTGTTGGGTTATATAGGAAATATTTGAGTGATTTCCTTCCCACTTTAATTGATCTTTCTCTTTCTTTTACAGGATGATGAAAGGGTAAGTTACTAGCTTAATGTGTTCATTGCTTTAATGTTTTGTGTTTTAGGTCTTATATAATGTTTTGTGTCCTCAGTGTCCTTCGGATCGCTCTCCTTCTGTAGAAGGTTGTGATTGTCCTAGTGGAAAACCTGGTTTGCCGGGTTTACCTGGGCCTATGGTGAGACAACAAAACCTGCATTTTTAAACACAGTTTAAAGGATTTTTCCTTACAAAAATGTGCATTTTGTCATCATTTACTAATTCAGACTAAACTTGTTATACATCTTTTTTCATTCTGTCATATTAAAAAAAAGAATACATTTGGATAAATTATTGGAAAGCGACTTCTTTAGGATTTTTAAATTTATTTTCTATGCTTGTCAATTTGCAACATTCTTCAAAATATCTTCTTTTGTGATCAACAGGAAAAATACACTGTTTAAAGTTTAGAATCACTTGAGGATATTTAAATTGTGAATAAATATTCATTTTTGTGATCGTTTCCTTTGTATGAATTTAGGGTTTCAGGGGGGAGAAAGGCAGAGAGGGACCTCCGGGGCCTGATGGTAAACCTGTAAGTATAGCAGAATTATTAGTGCATTTGGTCAGGAGATTTCGATATATTTATAACTCTCGTGATCTATGTCCACCAGGGTAAAGCAGGGGAGAAAGGAACATCTGGAGAGCCTGGTCGAGATGGACAGAAAGTGAGTGAAACCATATACATACAGTTGAAGTCAAAATTATTAGCCCCCTTCGATTATTTTTCTTTTTAAAATATTTTCTAAATGATGAGAGCAAGGAAAGTTTCACAGTATGTCTGAAAATATTTTTTCTTCTGGAGAAAGTCCTATTTGTTTTGTTTCGGCTAGAATAAAAGCAGTTTTTTATTTTTTAAACACCATTTTAAGGACAAAATTATTAGCCCCTTTCAGCTATATTTTTTCTCGATAGTCTACAGAACAAACCATCGTTATACAATAACTTGCCTAATTACCCTAACCTGCCTAGTCAACCTAATTAACTTAGTTAAGCCTTTAAATGTCACTTTAAGCTGTATAGAAGTGTCTAGAAAAATATCTAGTAAAATATTATTTACTGTCATCATGGCAAAGATAAAACAAATCAGTTATTAGAAATGAGTTATTAAAACTATTATGTTTAGAAATGTGTTGAAAAAAAATCTTCTCTCTGTTAAACAGAAATTGGAGAAAAAATAAACAAGCGCTCTAATAATTCAGGGTGGCTAATAATTCTGACTTCATCTAAAGATGTTTCATTCCTCTATGCAATGTTGAGACATGTTATAAAAACACACTGATTTGTACTGTGAGTGATAATATTTTTACATATGTAGATATTTATGAAATAACATTAGCTAATAACCCTCAGCTCTATGCTAATATTTTATTGTGCCAATGTTTAATTCACAGGGTGAAGCAGGTGAAACAGGACAAAAGGGGGAGCGAGGACTGGAAGGACCCAAGGTATGTGCATTTTGGGAGTTTTGTTCAAATAAAATAATAAATATATGTACAGCTGAAGTCAGAATTATTAGCCCCCCTTTAAGTTTTTTTTCTGTTTTAAATATTTCTGAAATGATGTTTTACTGAGCAAGGAAATTTTCATAGTATGTCTGATAATATTTTTTCTTGTGAAAATAGTCTTATTTGTTTTGTTTCAGCTAGAGTAAAAGCAGTTTTTAATTTTTTTTAAAGCCGTTTAAGGACAAAATTATTAACCCCTTTAAGCAATTTTTTTTTCGATAGTCTACAGAACAAACCATCATTATACAATAACTTGCCTAATTACCCTAACCTGCCTAGTTAACCTAATAAACCAAGTTAAGCCTTTAAATGTCACTTTTAGCTGTGTAGAAGTGTCTTGAAAAATATCTAGTCAAATATTATTTACTGTCATCATGGCAAAGATAAAATAAATCAGTTATTAGAAATGAGTTATTAAAACTATTATGAATAGAAATGTGATGAAAAAAATCTTCCTTCTGTTAAACAGAAATTGTGAAAAAAAAACGGGTCTAATAATTCAGGGGGGCTAACAATTCTGACTTTAACTCTATATATGTATGTAGTGATATGTTTATCAAAAGTAGTATATCGATTTTTCTATTTTCCCCCTAATATTTAATAGGGTGAAATGGGACCACCGGGGCCACCGGGGCCACCGGGGCCTTCAGGACCAGAAGTGAGTTTCAAACTTTTTAATAAATGATTTACATTTTCCCTCAATATTATGAATAAAGGTTACGTACAGTAATTTTCTCTTTATAATGAAAAAAAGCAAAAAAATTATTCCATTAAAATCTCCTTTAGGGCACAGGCTTTTCCAAATTGGAGATCCAAGACTTGGGGATTCAAGGAAGCATGGTAAAGTCTTAATAAATCAACTGAAATTGATTACTAACATTAATATTGCTAATAAAAACTGTCGTGCTCTTATAGGGAATCCCAGGGGAGCCAGGAGAAACGGGACCACCCGGAATTCCCGGATCAAATGTACATAATATGCTTTTAGAATCTCCTCCTGAATGCTCATATCATGCATAAGTGATCATGAGATTTTTTTTCTAATTTACAGTGTTGATTTTTTTTTTGAAAATGGAGGTAAATTTAAATTGAATCGAGACATGTTGACTTATTTTCTGTCTTCCTCAGGGTGAACCTGGGCCACCTGGTCTACCTGGACTTGAAGGTCCGAAGGTAAGACTGATTTTACATTTAAATTGTCTCCTAAACTATAATATAATTAAACTATCATTATTTGTTTATTTATTTTTATTTAGACCGTCACAAAAATGGGGTCATACTAGACACTATAAGCATAACACAGCTTCTGAAACTCTAAAAGTGCTTTTTTTGGTGCACTGCAAAAAATTATTTGCTTGCCTTGATTCTTTGACTTCAAATATCTTGAAATTCTTAAAACAAGAAGCATTTTCTAGACAAGTAAAAAAGTCTTGTTTTAAGAAATAATAGCTAACTCTAATAATAGAGTTTTTCATTAAAAAAGCTAAATAGTCTGCCAATGGAATGAGCAAACTAGTTTTTCTTTTTGACATAAGATTATTTTGCTTGCCTTATTGGCAGATTATTTAGCTTGTTTTAAGGAAAAACTCCAAAATTTTGACATATTATTTCTTTAAGCAAGACAATATTCTTGCTTGTCTAGAAAAGGTTTCTTAAATTAAAATCTTTTAGATATTTGGACTAGAAACAGGGCAACATATTTTTTTCAATGTGTATTTAACCTTGTTTTTTCAGTACAAATATTAAAACATTCTTCATTAAAAAAGAAAAATTACTAGGTAAGCAAGATGCCATTAAACATTTCTATCTTGTTGTCAGATAAATGTCCACTGTAAACATACAACACTAACCTGAATTCACCAAGTAGGACATGTTCCTGCATTAACATCTACGTAGATCCTGGAACAACATTCCAATCAGCCAATCAGAATTAAGTAATTTGTTTTTCGGTTATGTTAAGTGTAAGCTTACGGTTAGATTTATGCATTTTTACATGATTGTTATCCAACTGGTATTTCCCTGTGATTTTGGGAGTAATGTAGAGTTATGGTTGGGTTTAGGGGTAGGTAATAGGTAAAATCTTTGAACAAAAATGATGTTCCAGGATCAACATAGATGTTAATCCAGGCTTGCTTCATCTTTGGCAAAATCATAACATGCTTAGGAAAAAACATTACCTGATGCATCATTGGTAATATTTCCGGAAGATGACCATGTTACAGTTTAGCAAAATTAATTCACACCTCCTGAAGTGATGTGCGATGCGCCTTCGCCGTTTGCAATGCATTAAAACATTGTTTTCAGACGCAGCCGCGCTTCATTCTTAAAATGTATAGTTTGTCCAAAGTGATACAAACTATAAAGTATTTTATGAGCAGGGATACAATCAGTCAGCTCAGTCGTCCCACCATAGTCAAAAGTGACGTTTTGTGTCTGCCGGTTTGTTTACTTGTTTAGTTCCATTGGCATTTTCCCGCACGTTAATTCTGACCAATCGAAAAGCAGTATAGGAAATACGTTCTATAACATCTGGCCAATGAGTAATGTGGATTTTGTCACATGACTGCATTTTGGTTCTTTTCAACTGGTTCAAACAAAAACAATCAGTGTGGTGTGAAAACCCGGCAGAAAAAGGCTACAATGTATCATTTATTGCCCTTGCTCCAGACCAAACGAACCAAACCACAGATGTGAAAGCACCCTGAAACGCTTTTTTGGACTAAAAAAATCGAACCTGGCACGAATCTATTTATGACGAACGAAAGTTTTGCATGCAGTGTGTCAATACGATTGACAATATGAAGTTGAATTATTTTTTTAACGTGCAAAAATTATGGATTCAGTGTACAATAACCTTAAGATATATATATTATATATATATTTGTTTTAAGCATAATCTCAGATGATTTAGAAAATTTGTGCATGAGAATGAATCTATTTTCTGTTTCAGTACATAGCATAGGCCATCATCATAAATTACTATAATGTGTAAATGCACATTTGATTTGGTCTGTATTTTTAGGGAAGCCCCACCCATCTTTCTTTACCATGAATTGAAGAGAAATTCATTAGTTATAGTTTGTTATTGGAGATGTAAATCAATGGAGCTACTTTCCAGTTTCTGGTTTTCAACATAGACAAACAATCCCACAGACTTTCAACTTCACACCCGCAATCTCAAAGTATTTCAAGCAGCACAGGGTGTAAGCCTTCAGATGTGTTAGGGATGCCATCAGACATCCTCTCACATGTGAAAGTGGTGGACTATTTTCGGCATAAGGGCATATTTGTGGCCTTGTCGTTGATTCTTTTTACCCGTCTCTCTCTGACATTTTTCTTAGCTTTTTGCCAGCAGGAGACTGTCGACTTGCCCAACGTCTATATATAGGGACTTAAACGCCCAGATTATGATGGGTCTATGACACAGTGCGCATTTTGAGCTGCTCTCTGCTCATTATGAATATAAGGTCACATGCCAGACAAATTACTGTGTGCTGCATGCATTTAACATCATTTAGGGGACAGAATTATTGAATACAAATACTGGTATTATGATAGATTAGAGGTGAATGTTGCTTTATGAAGTTTGTGGTTATGTTTTCAGCAGGATGTTGACTGTTTTTAAAAATAAACCTGAGATTGGCAATATTATTGGATACTAAAAACATGTATGAAGCATATTGTACACCTTTGGTCTTGTAGGCCAACGCTAATGAGATTTTTATTCCTCAGATGCTTTTTAAAGTCCAGGGTGGTTTTAAAAGGTTTACACACTAGAAGATTAATTGCGTTTACTAAATATTTTTTAAGGTATGTGGTTGCAAACAGTTAATACGGGCTGAATTTATACAAACAAATCAAGTTTAGAAATGTTCAACTTAATTTGTTTGTTTAAATCCAGGCCTTATCAATTGTTTGCCACTATTTACCTTAAAATATTGAATAAATCCAACAAAACATTTGTTTTCAGTGCACTAAGCTTCAGCTTTGTCTCAGATATTCATTCATTCATTTTCCTTCGACTTAGTTCCTTTAATCATCAGGGGTCGCCACAGCGGAATGAACCACCAACTAATCCAGCAAATGTTTTACAAAGCGGATGCCCTTCCAGCTGCAACCCAGTACTGGGAAACATCCATACACACGCTTTCACACATACACTATGGCCAATTTAGTTTATTTAGTTCACCTATAGCACATGCATCCAGAGGAAACCCACGCCAACACAGGGAGAACATGCAAACTTCTCATAGAAATGCCAACTGGCCCAGCCAGGACTTGAACCAGCAACCTTCTTGCTGTGACGACAGTGCTAACCACTAAGCCACCTTGTCGCTCGTCTCAGATATTATTCCATACAAATCTTAAAAATAGATATAAAACATTATCAGTGAAAGTGTGTTCAGATCATTTGCTCTTGGAAGAATTTGACAAAAAATATTAGAAAATAATTGAGCTCAATTAATTCTGATTGCAGACTTTATACTTTCTTGGAAAATCTGAACAAACTTTAAGAGATTTTTGTTAAAAGTCTAAAAAAACAGAAGATACTAGGGTTATCTTTATCTCAGAAGAATCGTCTCCAGTTTACCTAGTATATATGCAAACCTCCATTTACTCTCCACTTGCAATCTCACTAGCTTGGATAAATATTATTGACCTTATTCTTCAAGTACAGTACAAGTGGGTGCTGCCATTGGATTTTTTTGGCTCAAGACTTCTGGTATCATACCCTTCCATATATTTGTAGACATTAAAAACAGCTTGACATGCTGCTTGATGATGCAAACTTGTATTTTCTTATTTCATAATTCAACTTTTTATGTATAGTCATAAACACACTTGTTTGTACACTGAAAAAAATACACTTTGAACCAAAATTACTGTAATTTGTCACAGCTAAATATTTTAGTTTTTCTCAAAGTACGTTTTATCTTGGTTCAAACTAAAACATTTTATTTAACCTAAATCAAAAAAATATTTATTGTGGTCAATAAACAAAATAACATTCACTCAAAGTAAAATATTGGTTACTATAGAGACTTTGGACCAATTTTGCTTTTGACCAATTAAAAAAAATACTGTAATAAAATGTCAAAAATTCTGTCAAATTGTAGTTTTTACTTGGTTGAAAGTGAAAAATGCCATTTAATATTATTCACAATATTTCTGCATGGGTGACACAGTGGCTCAGTGGTTAGCACTGTTGCCTCACAGCAAGAGGGTCGCTGGTTTAAGTCCCGTCTGTGTCAGGTGGCATTTGGAGTTTGCATGTTCTCGTGTTGGCGTGGGGAGGTTTTCCCCACAATAGGTGAATTGAATAAACTAAATTGGCCGTAGTGTATGTGTGTGTGAATGAGTTTGTATGGATTGATTCTGCTGTGGCGACCTCTGATTAATAAAGGGACTAAGCCAAAAAGAAAATAAATGAATGATTAAATCAATTAATTGAATTACTTTGGTTCAACTTAAAATCAAAATCCAAGTAAAGTTGTAAACTATTTCTAAACTATTATAAATACATATAATGTTATTGCTAGTTATTTTATTTTCAGTAATGGTGCTTCCAGTATGGCTATACATGTTAATCAAGATAGTAATCAAACTGGCATTAGAAAGAAATTAAACCGAAAGCACAAAATCTGTTTACTTAAATCTGTTTTATGTGGTCACATGACATGAAATCTGCTGGTTTAAAGTAAAAATATTACTTTGAAGAAAAGCTTATGTTTTTAAGTTTACCTATAGGATGATGTTTTTTGCTTTAAGACAAATTGAATAAAACCGGCTATAATCAGAAACCATAATTTTTCACTCAACCCAACATGAAAATTTGGGTTTACCCGTTTTCATTCATTTATTATTCCTAGTAATTTCTTTCATGGGCAGCTGAGTCAGAAGATCTAAACAATTGCAAAACTGAGCGCTCTTTCCTATTACAGAATAAGGTCGATAGAAATACTTTATATTTATTGTTAATGTGTATTTCTCAATGGTTGTGTCTTGGAGATGTAGGTTTTTAGACATGCACTTGAAGTCTGTCAGTCAGATCTATTTTCAGGCTGCTGCATCTGTCTCGGCATCTGCGTGTCGCCCGCTCCCTAAAAATTAGTGCCGCCCTGCCATTTACTGGCTCATTAAATCAAGTCTGTTTATCAGTAAAGCGCTTTGAT